ATGTACAATGCAGTGAAATTTAGTACATTTACAATGTTGTACAATTATCACCTCTATCTGGTTCCAAAAACTTTTAATCATCCCAAAGGAGACCCGATACCCATTAAGTAGTTACTCCCCATTCTCCCCAGCCCCTGGCAACCACTAATCTGCTCTTGGTCTCTATGGAGTCACCTATTCTGGATGTTTCATATAAATGAAATGATATAATATGTGACCTTTTATATCTGGCTTCTTTCACTTAGCGTGGTGTTTTTAAGGTTCCTTCATTTGTAGCATGTACTTCATTCCTTGGCTGAATAATATATGAATATGCCACATTTTGTTCATCCATTCATGCATTTATGAACATCTGGGTTGTTGCTACCTTTTGGCTATTGTAAATAGTGCTGCTGTGAACATTTGTGTACAAATTTATGTTTGAACACTTGTTTTCAATTCTTTTGGGTCTAAAACTTAGGAGTGGATTATTGGATCATATGATGTCTTCATCTGTTTTATAATGCTATAACAGAATGCCACAGACTGGGTAATTTATAAATAACAGAAATTTAGGCCAGGCACAGTGGCTCAAGCCATTAATCCTAGCACTTTGGAAAGATGAAGTGGGAGGATCCCTTGAGGACAGGAGTTCAAGACCTACCTGGGCAACATAGCAAGACCCCTGTCTCTACCAAAAATTAAAAAATTAGCTGGGCATAGTGGCAAGAACCTGTAGTCCTAGCTGTTCGGGAGGCTGAGCCAGGAGGATCTCTTGAGCCCAGTGGTTTGAGGTTTGATCTATGCCACTGCACTCTAGCCCAGGCCACAGAGTAAAACTCTGTCTCGAAACTAAATTTCGAGAAACTACACTGTCTCGAAACTACACTGAGAATTTGTGTAGGTCAACAAGCATTCATTATAGCAACTTTTCTATAATCTGGTTCTTAATGCCATACTCCATTTCTGATTTGTACATTTTCTTTCAACCTAATTTTGTTCAGTTTCTTCAGGAGTTATATTCAGTGCATGGATTGAACTATGTTCAGATACACAAAAACATGTCCGGCAAAAGTCTGAAGTGGAAATATTAATAGAAGCAGAGTAGAAGTAGAGTAGAAGCAGAATAAGTTTAGATGTACATACTTTAGACCCATTAGATACACTGTGAGGGTTTTTTGTTTGTTTGGTTGGTTGGTTGGTTTTTTGCCATGGCCTCAGGTATACTATAAGATTATCCTGAGCAGAACTTCCTAAGAAGGCACTGAAAAGTTTTATAATTTCTGAGTTCTGGTCATCAAAGATTGTCATGTTTAAAAATTGTTGTTTTAAACAACTGGCTCTTTCTTCTTCAAATGCCTTTCCAATCCTAGGTGAATAGTGGCTTCCATAAAGCTTCATCTTTCTCAAAAATTTTTTTGCTCTTTAAATAGGGACCATTGTTCTTTGAGGCGTTCCTTTTCTTACAGCAAATAACAGTCTCATAATAGCAAAGTAGTATCATGTTCACATGCAGTAGCAAGCTGTTTCTGTAAAAGTTGCTGCTGAGTATTAATCATTTCTTTACATTGCTGAATTTCTAATTCTAGTTTTTCTGTTTCTTGTTCACCTTCTAACTGTACCTTTAAAACTTGGTTATCAAGTTTTTCTACATGACTTTTCAAAATTCTTCAGTTTTCTGGTCCTGTTTGTAAGCTGTTCTCTCACAGTTTCGCAGAAAAGGCCCTACATACTCAGTTCCTGGGCATCTTTTTCAACATCAGAGATAACAATTCTTGTACTGTTATCTGCCCTTTCTCTAGGTTTCTTTCAGAGAGAAAGAAGATTAATCATTTTCTTTCTCAATTGTTGTAGAATCTTCTTAAATTCAGCATTTTCCATTAGAATTTGTTTCTTTTGATATTTATTCAAAAGAATATTTCATTTCATTCCTGGCTTCAATTTTCCCAGTCCTCCAGGAACCTCTTTTTTCATCAGTTCTCCCTACATAATTTAAAATGTCTGTAGCTATGTTTTATCCTTATTTATAACAAGATGATGTAGATATTCCTTTAGTTTATTATATTGATGCTCTTTTCTCTTCATATTGTGATTATATTGAATAGCTCAACTTGCAATGATATTTTGTAATTTTTGTACCTAATCTTTCTCATTTTTCAGTAGCTGATGCAAATTCCTGTTCCTACATTGTAACTGTCTCTTTCCTGAAGCCCAGTCTTTTTCCTCTTAGAAGTTTCCCATTTTTCCTTAAGTTTTACATAGCAGTTCTATAAATGGTCTATATCACTTCTCAGTTTCAAATTCTGTTCTTCCACATTTTCCTGAGCTAGAAGGTTCTTCTGTTGAAGTACAAGTAGCTTATTTATACAATTTAAAAGATCAACTATATTTAAGTCTCTTTTTACCTTTAGATTCTTCATATAATGAAGAAAAACCAAAAATAGTCAATTCTGGATTAAGATATGAAATACTTTGTTCAATATTCTTTTCTGTACAGATGGCACTGAAAACAACTGCCCATTTTTGATAAAGGTTTTGAGGAACATAGCACTTGCCATGAGTATAAATTTGATAGAGACATCTTGGTTTCTGATACATACTGAAAGATATTTGTTATGGTTTGAATGTTTGTGCCCTTTAAATTTCATGTTGAAATTTAATCACCATTGTAACAGCATTAAAAAGTGGGAATTTTAAGTAGTTCTTAGGTCACAGTGGGGAACCTGAGGCCTGAAGACCACATGTGGTCCTCCAGATCCCCAAGTGCAACCCCTTGACCAAATCTGAACTTCACAAAACAAATGCCTTCATGAATGGACTGATGATATCACAGGCCTGGATTTGTTACTATGGGAGTGGGTTCCTTATTGCTTTCTCTTTTGCCCTCTCTTTGCCCTTCCACTATGTGATGCTTTCTACCATTTTATGATGCAGCAAGAAAACCCTGGTTAGATGCTGGCACTTTGATCTTGGATTTCCCAACCTCTAGAACTGTGAGCCAATAAATTTCTATGCATTATGAATTACCCAATCTGTGGTAGTATGTTATGCCAGCACAAAATGGACTAAGATATAAAATTTGTACCAGAGAAGTGAAGTGTTTCTATAACAAATACCTAAAAATGTGGAAGCAGCTTTGGAATTGGATAATGAGTAGAGGCTGGAAGAATTTGAAGGCGGAAGCTAGAAAAAGCCTAGATTGCTGTAAATGGCACATTAAGGGCGATTCTAGTAAGGGCTCAGAAGATAAGGAGAACAATAAGGAAAGTCTGAAAGTTCTTAGAAGTTATCTAAGAATCTAAGTGGTTATTATCAGAATGCTGCTAGCATATGAATGGTAAAGGCAATTCTGATGAGGTCTCAGACAGAAATGAGGATTGAGGTATTGGAAACTGGAGTAAAGGCAATTCTTATTATAAAGTGGCAAATAACTTGTCTGAATCGTGTTCATACCTGAGGTCTTTATGGAGGACAGAACTTAAAAGCGATGAACTATGATACCTGGTGGAAGAAATTTCTAAGCAAACTTTGAAGGAGCTGCGTGACTTCCTTTAACTGCATATAGTAAAAGCAAGAGGAGAGACATGATTTAAAGATAGAATTTATAATTTAAAAGGAAGCAGAACAAAGATTTGCAAAATTCACAGCCTGGCTATATAAAGAACCAAGAAAGGGTGTAAGGACATGGCCAAAAGTTCCTTTGATAATGAGATTAGCATGGTTAGAAGGAAGCTAGATGCTGTTCATCAAGACCATGGCAGAATGACTCTGAAGGCATTTGGAACTGTAATATCAGTTTATCCCTGGGTTTCCAGCCTACTAGCCAGAGTGTTTCTTGTATGCCTGCAGACTTTGGACTTGCCAGCTCTCCATAATTGCACAACCCAATTCCTTAAAATGGATCCCTTAGATTCAGTTTACTTTTCTTAATTCTTTTTTTTATCTGTTGCTCAGAGTTGATCATTTCAATTATCTTATCTTCAGGTTCACTAAAGTGAACTTCAGGTTCTTCTGCCTACTCAAATCTGCTACTGAATGCATCAAGTAAATTTTTCATTTCAATTATTATACTTTTCAGCTCCAGAATTTGTTTGGTTCGTTTTTATAATTTCTATCTCTGTTGATATTCTAAGTTTGTTCTTACATTGTTTTCCTGATTTCCTTTAGTTCTTTGTACATGTTTTTTTCTTTAGCTTTTAAACATATTTAATAGAGTTGTTAAAAGTGTTTGTCTAGAAAGTTCTATATGTGGATTTCCTCAGGATGATATTTGTCCATTTATTTTGCCCCTTTGAATGGGCCATGTTTTCCTGTTTCTCTCTGTATGCCTTGTGATTTTCCTGTTGACTACTATACTGTGGTAACTATGGAAATCAGATTCTCCTCCTTCCCAGGTTTTTATTTTGTTATTATTATTGTTTAAGGCTATAGTAGTCTATTTGTTTTAGGACTTTTTCAAACTATTTTTACAAAAACTATTTCTTGTCATGTGTTCTCACTGATATTTTTGTTCCTTTAGCTGTGTTCACCTAATGTTTTGACAGAGATTTCCTTGAATATCAGGAGTTCTCCATGTCTTTGCAGATTGGCTCTGTGTTGGGGCACCCCTTCAAGACTTAGCTAGGCTTCCTTTGAACCTAGAGATAGCCCAAGATGAAGCTTAAGATCTTTTCTGAGATGTGTCCTTCCTCACCATGACTGTAACTTTCTAAGTTCCCACCTGTACATGGTAGCTTTTGAATATCCTATTTTCTCAAACAGTCTTACCTCAGCTTCTCTTACATGTCTTAGGTGATCTTTTTTGCATGTCTACACTCATAATCTCTTGTCCCAAAGCTCTGTGGTTCTGTAGTTTCCTTGCAGCTTTTATGTGCAGTACCTACTGCTTTTCCCATCTTAGTTTCAAGTTAGGCAGAAATGAGTGACTTGCATCAGTTGTTCAGCTATTCCCCCAAAACAAGATAAAACAGATGTATAAAATAATTTGCAAATAAGGTGTGTTCTGCTTCTTCTCATTCTAGGGAGGGAACTGAGAAGTGATGCTGCCTCTTTAAGACCCAAACCACCACCTCACTAGGGAGGATGTGGGGCAAGGGTGAGTAAAACACCACAAATCTTTACCATCATTTTGAAGATGGCTTTGTTTTTTGAGTTGGTATTTGCTTGGTGGCTGTCAGCCTTTGATTGTTTTACAGACTCTGGCAAAGTTGGTTCAGACAGTTCCTGTTTGGTTTTTTTGTTTTGTTCTTGTGAGTGAAGAGAACTTGGAGCTTCCTAGTCCAACATTTTGTCAATATATTCAATACCTCTACTATTAGAATGCATGGAAAAGGTCTACTGTCCAGATTCTTCTTCCATTAGTGTAACTCCTATTTTTCTTTGCTTTTCTAGCCACTACTAATTATAAGGTCTTTCACATTAGTCATTGTCTTGCTATCACCCCCAGATTGGCAGAGGAGCAGAGGGCCTACAATAGAATCCCTAGAAATACCAACTTTTGCAGAGGAGGAAGAGAGGTATGTTGGTGGAAGATGAGGAAAAGAAAGGTTACAGTGTCAGCAAATGCAACAGGTTGACCCTCACTGCATTAGAAACAAACTCTTCTCCGTCTTCAACTTTTTCATACCATGCTTTTTCTCCATCTCCTTGACTTAAAAATTTAGCTCTTCCCTAAGGATCCATCACCTATTTGAATATAGCTCTTTCAGTCACCAGGTTAAAAAGCCTTCGCAAAGGCCTTCATGTCTGTGGATAAAGTTAACTGAAAAAAACTGTGTATTATTGCAGTCATGCACTGCATAATGACATTTTGGTCAACAATGGACCACATATACAATGGTAGTCCCATAAGATTATAATGGAGCTGAAAAATTCCTATCACTTAATGACACCATAGCTGTCATGATGTTGTAGCACAACACATTACTCACATGTTTGTGCTGATGGTGATGTAAACAATTATAAAAGTATAGCATGGATAATTATGTATGGTACATAATAATTAGTAATGATAATAAAGGACTATGCCACTGGTTTATGTATTTGCTATGCTATACTTTTTATCAATATTTTAGAATGTACTCCTTCTACTTATTGAAAAAAAGAGTTAACTGTAAAACATCCTCAGGCAGGTCCTTTAGGAGATATGCCAGAATAAGTCATTGTTACTATAGGAGATGACAGCTTCATGCGTGTTATTGCCCTGAAGACCTTCCAGTGGGACAAGATGTGGAGGTGGAAGACAGAGATATTGATGATCCTGACCCTGTGTGGGCCTAGGCTAATGGATGTGTTTGTGTCTTAGTTTTTAACAGTTTTAAAAGTAAAAAGAAAAATAAATAGAAAAAAGCTCATGGAATAAGGATATAATGAAAATATTTTTGTTCAACTGTACAATGTGTTTTAAGCTAAGTAACTAAAAAGAGTCAAAAACGGTTTAAAAAATTTAAAAGTTTATAAAGTAAAAAAGTTCTCACCCAGAGCATCTTCTAATCTTGTGAGCTCCATTCAGGGTAATGAATGCCCTATACAGGTGTACCATCTTTAATCTTTTTTACTGTACCTTTTCTATGTTTAGATATGTTTAGATACACAAATATTTAACCATAGTGTTACAATTACCTACAGTATTCAGTGCAGTAACATGCTATACAAGTTTGTAGCCTAGGAGCAATAGACTATACCATATAGCCTTATAGGCTATATATATCATCTAGTTTTGTGTAAGTACACTCTATGATGTTTGCACAATGAAATTGCCTAAGGACACATTTCTTAGAATGTATTCCTATCATTAAGTGATGCCTGACTATCATTTTCATTAGCTTCCTGAAGATGGCAGCAATGCTCTATGAAATACAACTATCCACACTTCCTCTCCCTTAAAAATTTGGAAGAAAACACGTTTCTAAGCAGAGTAGGTATAAAATTCTTTTCTTCATGCTTGCCTCTATTGATTATGATTTTTAAATTAATTGTGTCTCAATGTGATGGGTGAAAACTTGCATCTCAGCATTGTTTTAATTTGCATTTCTTTGATAATTAGAAGGCTACACATATTTCTATATGTTTCATAGCATTTCTTTTTCTTCTTCTCTGAATGATTTTCATATCCTTCACCCTGTATTTACATTGGCATTTAATTTTATAGCCTTTACTTTTTCTCATTATAAAAACAGTATGTATGCACTATACAGATTCAACTAAACATAGAAGAAATTTTAAAATAGCCACATACACACTACCAGAGACAACAATTTTAATGTTTAGATCCATTTTTACTAGCTTTTCTCTGTTTAGTTATTTGCACTTTTCACATTTAATATAATGTTGCTCTATATTCTGCTTTTTTTATGTAACTTTGCAGTGATATTTTCCTATGCCATGAATAATTCTTGTGTGTATTTTTAAAAATAGCTTTTGTTTATGATTTAAAAGGCAATTCTTGGGCACTTTTGAAAACTTAGTAAATATAGAAAAATTTAGTAAGAAAACAATGTATGATCCCTCAACCAAGAGAAAACTATTATCAAACTTTTGATATATTTTCCCAACCATTTTTCTATGCAAGTATTATACATTATTTCGTTGGTATCATACAGTAATGTGTAGCTTTACATATATATATTATTTCATTTTATATTATAAGATTTTTTAAAAAGTTAAGATTTTTTAAAAAGTTATTAGCTATATAAGCTAGTTGCTTAATCACCTAAATAATCCATTGCTATTGAATATTAAAATTTCTCCTACTATTTCACTATTAGAAACTATGCTATAATAAGTTCTTTAGTACAAAAGTCTTCTGCTTTTCTGATCCTTACCTTATTAAAGAGTCTCAGATGTGGAATTACTGAGTAAAATGTTATAACAATTTAAAAACTATAATAGCAGTATAAATTTATGTAAATGGCACTTTTCTTGCATTCTTGGTAACATTGAATAGTTTCATTCTTACTTACTATTTACACATTTAGGGTGAGAAAATGGTGCTTTAATATTGTATTAATTTTAATTAAAAAGTTATTAATGAATATATTTCAAGATTATTAGGAACCTGGTTTCCTCTTGTGTGAATTAATTTTTTTACATCCTTTGCCTGTTTATTATGTCTAATAGTTCTTTTAATTCAAAACTTTTTGTTTTCTTGTATCATTTTATACATTTTAAGCTTTAATTAGAGATAAGTTTCCTGCCAGATTGCTTTATAATGAAATTTCTTTTAAATTATATTGAATTTTTTTCTCATTTTGGCTGATTAATGATTATTTTTTTAAATATTAAAAATATAGAAATGTTTAATGAAGATAGTGAAAATCAATAGCAACTTCACCATTTATAGGTAACTAGTGTTAATATTTATTTCTTTCTATTGTTGAGAGAGAGAGGGAAATATTGGAAATAGAAGTTCCTGGTCTAATTCTTGGAGGTAGTAATTACCTCCTTTGTTATAGTCTAGGTCAGGAACTTGAGATCATGGCTTTTGGAATGTGGAAAGTTAAGCCTTCTTTCCTGAAGCATATATGCTCCAGCAAAGATCCATATGTGGTACCCTACCCCCAAAATTCTGCTACTAATATTGTGGAGATGGAAGTAATCACATCAGCTATAACCATCAAAGAACCTCCTAATGCTAGTAGTAATAATAAGAATAGCAAGCATTGATTGAATTCATTGAATTCTTATTGTATGTCAGACACTGAAATCAGGGCTTCACATAAATTAACTCATTTAATCCTCATAAGAAGTCTGTGAAGCATGTACTAGTATTATCTATATTTTATAGGTGGGGAAACTGGGGCATAGCTGGAGCTGCAAAGAGATCCCAGGGACTGACCTGTACAGATACGATTCTGAGAGTAGGAAAAATGTTATGTCTATCACATTTTAGAGAAAATTATTCTTATCAAGATATTTGGTTCTTTCTACCAGGAAATATAATAGTCTATAGGAACTTAGGCATCTGGTGAAGAAGGGAAGAATAGATGTAATGGTATATGGGTCAAAAATGATTAGAAAAGGGAGTAGGGAATTCAACAACAAACCTTACATTTACTGTTCAGGAAATTTGTTTTCTGAGTGAAAATAATTATTAGTTAAAATTAACCTTTGAAAATAATTACAATTCAAAAATGAAAGATAATTTTTAAAATTAAAAAATAATAACTACTGTTTGTGACATTCGGGGAAAATGGATAGTCATATATTTGTGAGTGGAGTATAAATTGGAACAAAATCTCTCAACGCTAAAATATGGCAGGTTCCAAAAACACAAAAAATTCATTCAACAAACATTAATTTTTTAAAAAATTATTTTAGAGTATTATGGGGGTACAAATGTTTTAGTTCTATAAATTGCTTTTGTACAGTTTGAGTCCAAGTTGTAAGTTTGTCTATCACCTAGATAATAGTGTACATTATACCTGTTAGGTAGGTGTGAGTTGATTCATCCCCTCCTCGCCCCTCCTACCTGCTTGATTTCTGATGAGTTTTATTTCCATATATGCATATAAGTGTTGTTCAATTAGTTCCAATTTAATGGTGAGTACATGTGGTGTTTGTTTTTCTGTTCTTGTGACACTTCACTTAGAAAGAAGAATGGTCTCCAGTTCCATCCACATTAATACAACAGAGATTAGTTCACCATTTTTTATGGCTGAGTAGAACTCCATGATATACATATACCACATTTTATTAATCCACTTGTGTATTGATGGGCACTTAGGTCGTTTCCACATCTTTGCAATTGTGAATTATACTGCTATAAACATTCAGATGCAGGTGTCTTTTTTATCAAATGACTTTTTTTCCTTTGGGTAAATACCCAGTAGTGGGATTGCTGAATCAAATGGTAGGTCTACTTTTAGTTCTTTAAGGTATCTCTATACTACCTTCCATATATGAAAAAATGTTCAAGGTCTCTAATCATTAGGGAAATACAAATCAAAACCACAATGAGATATTACCTAACTCCAGTGAGAATGGCTTTTATCAAAAAATCCCAAAACAACAAATGCTAGCATGAATGTGGAGAGATAAGAACCCTTATACACTGTTAGTGGGAATGCAAACTAGTACCTCAAACATTTCTTGAGTACCTGCAACATGCCAAGCAATGTACACACCGAATTCAAAACCACTGATAACCATTTTTAATTAATCAAATTAGCAAAGATCTAAAAGTTTGATGTGGGTGTGGGAGAAAACGCCACTTTCTTTCAAAATTACAAATGCACATATCCTTTGGCCATCATTTCCACTCATAGGGATTCAATCTACAGATCCTTGTGCATGTTCAAAATGACATATGTCCAAGATTATTCATTGCAGAATTTTTATAATATATGAGAAAATACATTTTAAGTAAAAAAGGAATAGATATTTGTTTTCTACTGTTCATTCAATATTAATGAAGGAGAGAGGTTAAACATACACATATGTATATATTTGGGAATTCATATAATATATGTGGGAAAAAACACATAGAAACAAATATAAATTGAATGAAGTCCCTCTCTCTTTTACATTCTATTTGAAAACTGGTTTCTGGGGTTTATAATACATACTAAGTAATTAGAAAAAGACTGAGGTGCTGATGGTGAGTCATGGGAGACACCCAAGTCCAAATCAAAGAGCCATCTGGGAAATGAGACATAAAAGACCACATATTATGTTATTACATTTACAAATGTCCAGAAGAGGCAAATCTATAGAGACAGTAGAAAAATAAAGTGGTTGCCTGGGGCTGGCATTGGGCATATGCAGCAGATGAAAAATAGCGCTAGAGATCTTTCTGGGGCAATGGAAATGTTCTAAAACTGGATAGTGGTGATGGTTGCACAACTTCGTGAGTTTACTTAAAAAATTATTGAATTATACATTTAAAGTGGGGGGATTTTATGATATTTAAATTTTACCTCAATAAAGATGTTAAAAATAAATAAGCAAGCATATGTAAGAAAAAAAATTAAAAGAATATTATGGAGTGTTTAAGAAGAAAGTGAAAGAAGGAACCAATGGTGAGAGCAGCAGCAGCACCAGGAACACCAACTGTCAGTGAAAATAACCTCATAACTCACAGAGGGGCTTTAGATCTTGGAAAGACATGCAGGGTTCTAGGCACCTGCTTTAATGATTAATCCCACATTCCTGCTCTCTCTCACAAATACCCCAGAAGTTATACTTTTAGTATAATTAGAGGAATAGAGTGTAGTGTTTGACAGTTGTGCCTGGTACAAAGTAAATGTTAAGTAAATGTCACCTGTTATTATTTCCTTCCATATTATTAAAAACAGGCTCTTTATCTCTTTGTATCAAGTCTCTCTTGTTCCTTCAATCCATCATCATATCAGCAACTTGATATACCTGACCTGGAAGAACTTATCACTGCAGCAGAAATCACCCATGCGTGGGCTTGATTTCTCCCTGGACAGTCTGCTGTCTGATTCCTCCCTGGACAATCTATTATCTGGATCACTCTGGAAGTCTGGTGAAATGCTTAGAGACCCTGCTTCTCACCACTCAGGAGGTTTACAATTGCCTATGAGATGCTCAGTGACAAATATCATTCATTTTGAATAAAAGTGGGGACTGACAATATTGAATTTTACCTGGGGCTTGTGTCCCTGAATGGGCCAATTAAGAAATTCTTCCACCTTTTTATATTCCAGGAAATGGCTTATTGCAAAGAACCACCTTTCCCCATATGATTTAGATCAAACTCATGGATATCACCACCCATCCTTGTTTACCTATAACAAGGCCAGGCACAGACCCTCCAAATTCTTATTGTTTACCTCAAAAATGATTGGCTGAACTGTTTGTACTCACTGGCCCATCCGGGCAATATATCTGAAATCTGGACTTGACCAAACTGTAATTGGGCTTCTCTCCTTCTCACAGGCCCTTTAACCTTGACCCAACCTTGGCCTGAGCCAGCATACAATCCCTCCTTAATGACTCATTTTTTAAAAGGAAAAAACATTTCAAGATCAGCTATCCAATCTTGATACCCTTTCATCACACTTCCACATGCCCCGTTCTTTCTAGTCTTGCTGATTGTTTCCTGTAAAAGGAAATAGTCTTTTCCTGTCTGACCTTTGAGACACTTGAGGATTTCATGGTCAGTTTTTCCCTATTGCAATAGTTCCTTTCCCCCTCTTGCCATAATCCTTTGGAATAAAGTCTGTTCTTACCTAAATCCAGATTTCTTTTTTTAAACTTACAGGTTTAATGAAGTGTAGGAGGTACCCAAACAGATGTTTTAATGCTCAATTCATTTTCTGGTTTCTTATCCAGTTACCCTCACCCACAGGAATTTTACTTTGGTATACTTAGAAGAAAGCTGCTGCATTTGCTGGGGATGGAGTGGGGGCCAGAGTAAAACCTTTTCTTCTTCTTGTCTTTTTGTTTTTTAGGATAGTTTGTGGGGGTGGTGACAGTCTGACAATCAGATTTAATTATAAATCAGAAGGCACTTGGTTCCAATGGAAGGACAAAGGATAAAGAACCAATGACAAGAGGCACAACAGTGGCCAAAATGTAAGTAAAATCACCTCTTTACTTACAGATGGGTTCCATAGAACAAACACCTGCCAGTCACATAGGTGGCTTTAATGCACAATCTATTTGCCTCTCTCTTTGGCAAGCACCATCCTCAATCCCCCCAGGAATTGCACTTGAGAATAAATAAGCTGATATAAGTTTTGGGAGGGGGTACTTCTATAAGAGAGTTTGAGCTTTAGTTAAATGTCAGCCTGCCCTGGTCACAGCAATGGCATGTTTCATGACCATAGCCCTGAACTTTTTACCTCTTACGAATTGTTCTCAAGCATGCATAGAAGAAATTCGGATTTTATTTTTGTTCAGAATGAGAGGGTTGGAAGAAGAGGTCTTCAGGTTGCAACATGAGTGCTGTCCTGCCAAATGGATCAGATTTATTGCTAGAGGTATCCCCCTGTTCTCCCAGGTAACCACCCCACATCCCTGGTCCCAGGTAGGCGATAATTGGACATTCTTAGAAAGTATATCAAGTTACTGGAACTGGAATTCCTGAGAAAAAAGAAGTCCTCTCTATTTCTGCCTGTGCCTCCAGGGGGAGGCCAGAACCACTTTTAGAATGGGTACCCAAACTAACATTTTCCTCATTGCCCTTCATTTGTCCTGGTTAAAGCCCTTAGCAAATCTGAACTAAATGGCCATCCCCAGAATATCCTTAACACTAGGAAATGGAGAGGGATCTAGGAATTCCTCAACTCTTCCCTTATTGATCTCCATATTATTGTTATTTTTGATACCTTCACAGTTTCCAGCTTTGTCACTCGTAGAATCTACTGAATGCCTATTTCCCCACCTCCTCACCTCCCCAGTACTCTGCTGATCTGGCCTACAAGATGCCAAAGGATGTTAAGACCATGTGACAACATGAGGGGTTCCCATGGGGACAGACCTGTTTGCTCATTAAAGCTGGCAGGAACACCAAGGTCTGCCATTGTGCACAGGCTTCAAGTTTATTTGTGGACCAGTGTCTTTTGTTCAGTTTTTGCTAAGGAATATGACAGAAGGAATGACAAGACAAAAGAGAAGACTGTCCCAGTAGCCATTCTTTTTTTTTTTTTAATTTCAGTATATTATGGGGGTACAAATGTTAAGGTTATGTATATTGCCCTTGCCCCCTTCGAGTCAGAGCTTCAAGCGTGTCCATCCCCACCAGTAGCCATTCTTAAAGTGAAGGCCCTTCTAGTGGAGTTAATGCAGAAGGGACACATCTACAGGGTCTTCCCCCTCAGGAAACCCAGCCCCAGCACAGGAATTCTCTAGACAGAGTCTGTCATCCTGCAATTTGGGGAGTGTGCTGACCATGACCTGGAGTTAGAAGTTACATTTTTTTTTATCTGTATATACATATTTGTAAAAACATTCTTACCTCTCTACCTGCATACACTGTGATATTTTCTATTCTATTCTACACTATTCCTTTTTAGAAACTTCTGTTCATGACTCATTAAGTAGATTTCACCTTTGAAAAGTTTGAAAAACCCTGGCCTGGGATAGCAGGGGTGTGAGTCTCTGATTTAAACTGCTAGCAGTTTAAGCAGGCATTTGCTAAACCTGGAGTCCCTTTCTGATGCAAGGGGTTATTTTAAAAACAGGTTTTTTCTGCCACTGTTTCTGTCAGAAAACAATTTCCTATTTTTTTTTATCTGGCACACACTGTTAACCTTAAAAAGCAATCCTGAAAACAGAAGAGGAAAAATATTATAGTTTATCACAGCCCCCTTCTCCCTAACTACATCTCCACCCAATATCATGATATTGTCTTTTTTCTCAGCATACTCATGTGGAATTGCTGGAGGAGAGGGATTTGCATGGGAGAGCAGGAGTGTGGGATTGGTCATTAAAATAGCTGTCTTGGCTCCTGCAAGTCATTACAACACCTAAAACCCTTCTGTAAATCATGAGAATACTTTTACTGACAACTGGGGCTATTCTTTCTTTCGCATTCAGTTCTCCTCTCTACCTGATTCCCAAAGTATCACTTCTCTTCCTTCACAGAGTATTAGCCATACAAAACAACCCAGAGAAAGGAAGACAGGAGAACAGGGCTTCTCCCCACCACTCCCAGCAAATACTGTGGATTTTTTATACCTGTGCTCAAGTGTTGTGGGTTATTTGTGAGAAGGAACAGGAATGTGGGGTTGGGCTTTTAAGCCTCTCTGTGAGTCATGAGGTTATTTTTACAGCCACTGCTGAGATTCTCTTTATGAAATTACATGCTTTTTAAAAAAGTACGTTAATGTTTTTGTTACCAGATATACCAGGCATGACTATAGCTGGCTTGACATCTGTAAATATATATTTATAATATACATAAATATACACACTCACTAATATGTACCATTTCAATAGCCTCATTTTACAGATATGGAAATGTAGATTTGGATTAATTGATTTACCTAAGGTTACACAGTTTATTAATGGAAGAAATGAAGCATTGTAAATTGCTGTTTTCTTGAGCTTTTTCACCTTTTTTGATATATATGCTGATTTCATGGAGTTAAATGAAGTGCTTCCCATCCAGAGGACCACACCCCCCTCTTTGAGAATCACTGATACCCATAAAATAGTCTATCTTCTGATAATTCCTACACATTAATAAGATGTGGTTGGTGCATGTTCTCAGTCATATGTGAAAGCTGAAATAGTTGATCTCATAGAAGTAGAGAGTAAAATAGGGGTTACTAGAGGCTGGGAAGGGGAGGAGAGGGAGATAGGGAAAGGTTAGCCGCCATCCCCAACCTTTTTGGCACCAGGAACAGGTTTCATGGAAGACAATTTTTCCACAGATGGAGTGGTGCGGGGTGGCAGAGCTCAGGCAGCAATGCAAGCGATGGGGAGAAGCTGTAAATACAGATGAAGCTTCATTGGCTGACCCTGCCACTCACTTCCTGCTGTGCACCCCTCCCCACTGTTTTCCTGTGAACCCCCTCACCCCCTACCATTTTCCTAACTTTCTTGGAAGACAGTTTTTCTGCTGACAGGGTGGGGAGGTAAGGTGGAGGGAGCAGAGCTCTTCAGCCTGGTCCCTAACAGGCTGTGAACTTGGGGACTGCAGGGTTAAAGGATACAGAATTACAGCTAGATAGCAAAAATGAGTTCTGGTGTTCTATAGCACTGTAGGGTGGCTATAGTTAACAATTTATTGTCTATTTTCAAAGAGCTAGAAGAAGAGATTTGGAATGTTCCCAACACAAAGAAATGATAAATATTTCAGGTGATAGATGGCCTAATTACCCTTATTTGATCACTACACATTGTGTGCATGTATCAAAATATCACCTGTCTTCCATAAATATGTACAACGATATATAAATTAAAAATAGAAAGCAAAAAAAGTTAAGTTTATACTGTAGTCTATTGAGTGTACATTATGTCTAAAAATACATATAGTTAAAAAATACTGACTGGTGGAGGGTTTAAGGAAGCAGGGCTCTGGATTGAATGCAGTTAGGAAGTGGAGGTTATTCTATGATTGGATATCTCAATATATCTTACCTATAGGGAGTGCTGACTAGCACAAGCTGTAATTGGTAAAGAGGTAGGAGTCACTTATTTTAGCTGAGAGAGGAAGAAGTTTGATATTTTGTGGATTGCACAATGACCTTGTTTTTAGACAATGACTTTGTACTTAGACAAATTTACAGAGTAGTCTTGTTTTGTCTTTCTCATAGTTTCAGAATGAACTTTGCTGATTTTGGTGTTTTATTAGGTTGTTTATGTCTTACAGGAGAATAACAAGGCCTTGTGAGTGCCAGGCAAGCTTCTAACAAGTGTCCAATGAGTTCTTGAATAGCAGAGGCTACTTTTTTCTTTCTCAAGTTTTTAAGAAATAATATAATGAACCGACCACTCAATCCAAGTGCTAGAACATTAACAATAACTTTAACATCTATTATGTGTTCCCCCCTCCATTGTATCCCTTTGCCTCATACCAAGAGCTAGCTGCTCTCCTGAATTGTCTGATTATTGTTACCTTGCTTTTCTTTTTTTAAATCTCGTATGTAAGCTTAAAATTCATATTGCATAATTTTGCATGTTTTTGAATATAATATTCCAGTAAATAAAGAGTATTCTGCCAAATTTATTTTTCCAGGTCTTTGTTTTCTCACATAACATTATTTTATTATGATCAGTCTATGTTGCTGCATGTAGTTCTAGTTCATTCCATTACATTGCTGTATGATATTCCATTGTGTGAATTTACCACATTTTGTTTATCCATTCTCTTGTGATTAGTTTTTGTTCTTTTGAGTGTTTTTGCTTTTACATATAGTGATGATACAGAATTTCTTATTGTTGACTTCTACATATATAACAGTTTCTTTTGATTATATACCTAAGAGAGGAATTGTTGGTTCATATATATGTGAGTGTTCAACACTGGAAAATATTGTCAAATTGTTTTCCAAAGGAGTTGTATAAATTTACAATCCTACCAGCAATGTATAAAAAATCCACTGACCTAATCCTCTCTCACACTTGGAATTATCATATTAATTTTGTTAATCAAATGTATGTAAAATAGTATATCATTTTAATCATGATTTGCTTATCTCTGATTACTAAGAAGGAATCTCATTTCATATATTATATTGGACTTACATGTTTTCTCTTCTGTGAAATACTTGTTTGGTTTTTTCCTCCATTTTTCGATTAGGTTATTTGTTTTTTTTCTTATTGAATTGTAGGAGTTCTTCATGTATTCTTGATGCTAATGTTTTATTGATTGAATGTATGGCAGATATCACCTTCTAGCTTGATTGCTTGTCTTCATTTTCCTTAATTTACTTTTTCATAGATGGAAATTCTTGATTTTAATGCAATTTATGTTAGCTTTTTATTTTCTTATGGTTAGAACTTTTTTGAGGCTTTTGAGAAATCTTTCTGTACCCCAAGGATAGAAAGATATTTGATTGTATCTTCTCCTAAAAGTTTTAAAGGTTTGCTTTTATATCTAAGTTCTTAATCTATCTGGAGTGGATTTTCATTTTTAAAATATGGTCAAAAATTGCTTCTCAGCCTTTGGCTAAAATCAAATGTAAAATATGGACAACCAATTTTTCCAGCTCCATTTGCTGAGCAACCCCTCCTTTCCCTAGTGTTCTTCAGTACTTCCTATGTTATATATCAGAGTTACATCTGTGCATGTTTCCGCTTCTGGGCTGTCTATGTTCCACTGGTCAATTTTTCTACCCTTTCTCTCAGTCTTTATCTGTGACATTTTTTTTCTTTTTTTTAATTTCAGCATATTATGGGTGTACAAATGTTTAGGTTACGTATATTGCCCTTGCCCCCCTTCCCCCCATCTGTGTCATTTTAATACATTTTCTCTAATTGTTTTTTATTAAGCTTTTTATTATGCAAATTTTAGACATATACAAAGATAGAGAAAATGTTGTAATGATCATCTTAATACTGGTTACCAATCCAATTTCAATAATTTCAAGGAATGAACAATGACATTTCATCTATACTCCTACGCAACTCCACTTGCCCTCATCCTACATTATTTTATTTTCTTTTTATTTATTTATTTTTTCTTCTTTTTACACTGTGGATGTCTCATAAGTGACTCATCCTACATTATTTTAAAGCAAATTCCAAGCACCATATCTTTTTTTCCTATAAATATTGATCATGTATCTATAAAATATAAGAACTCTTAAGAAAACACAATCATGGGCCAGGCGCAGTGGCTCACACCTGTAATCCTAGCACTCTGGGAGGCCGAGGCGGGAGGATTGCTCGAGGTCAGGAGTTCGAAACCAGCCTGAGCAAGAGTGAGACCCCATCTCTACTATAAATAGAAAGAAATTAATTGGCCAACTAATATATGTAGAAAAAATTAGCTGGGCATGGTGGCGCATGCCTGTAGTCCCAGCTACTCGGGAGGCTGAGGCAGGAGGATCGCTTGAGCCCAGGAGTTTGAGGTTGCTGTGAGCTAGGCTGATGCCACGGCACTCACTCTAGCCTGGCAACAAAGTGCGACTCGGTCTCAAAAAAAAAAAAAAAAAAAAAGAAGAAGAAAGAAAACACAATCATGATATCATTGTCAAACATGCATTATTAAATAATATTTCTAAAATATTTAGTCAGTGACAATTTAAATTTAAAAGTCACGATCCAAATAATGTCTAAACCTTGGTATTGGTTAATATTTTTCCTAAGTCTATTTTAATCTCTAGATTTCTTTTGTGACTTAAAAACAGTCAATAAGAAAACAAATATCCTATTTAAAATGGGTAAAGATCTAAACAGACACCTCAGCAAAGAAAATATACAGATAGCAAGTAAGCATATGAAGATGATGTGCAATATCATATGCCATGGAGATTTCCAATTGAAACAATAATGGCTACAATGGCAAACACCTATCATATGGCTGCATATGCAGTTTGTTTATCATTCACCTTTTGAGGACATCTGGTTGCTTCCAGTTTTGACAATTATGAATCAAGCTACTATAAACATTTGTGTGCAGATTTTTGTGTGGACATGAGTTTTCAACTCATTTGGGTAAATACCAAGGAGTGTGATTACTGGATCATGATAAGATTATGTTTAGTTTTACAAGTTACCAAACTGCCTTCACAAGTGGCTGTACCATTTTTGAATTCCTGCCAGTAATAAATGGGAGTTCCTGTTGTTCCATATCCCTGCCAGCACATGGTGTTGTCAGTGTTCTGAATTTTAACCATTCTAAGAGGTGTTTACTATTGTTTGTTGGTGACTACTTCTCACCAACTTCCCTAGTACCACCCTAGTCTAAATCACTATCATTTTTTTTTTTTTGAGACAGAGTCTCGCTTTGTTGCCCAGGCTAGAGTGAGTGCCGTGGCGTCAGCCTCGCTCACAGCAACCTCAAACTCCTGGGCTCAAGCGATCCTCCTGCCTCAGCCTCCCAAGTAGCTGGGACTACAGGCATGCGCCACCATGCCCGGCTATTTTTTCTGTATATATTAGTTGGCCAATTAATTTCTTTATTTATAGTAGAGACGGGTCTCGCTCTTGCTCAGGCTGGTCTCAAACTCCTGACCTCGAGCAATCCGCCCGCCTCGGCCTCCCAGAGTGCTAGGATTACAGGCGTGAGCCACCGCGCCCGGCCACACTATCATTTTTTGACTAGATTATTGCAATATATCTAACTGCACTCTCTGATTCTATCACACTTCCCTATTTTCTACACACCATCTCCAGTGATGCTCTTAAAAGAAGTCAGATAATGTCACTTCTGCTTTAAAGCAGCTTACGATACCTTCCCATTTTACTCAGAGTAAAACCAAAATCCTTACAGTGGACTACAAGACCCTTGTTACTGTTTTTTAAAATTTCATGTCTTACTACTGGCACTCTTGCTCACTCTTCTACCTCCAAAAGCAGGCCCATTTCATTCATTGTTTTGGCCACTCCAATAAATGTTTTTCATCTGGAAACTAATGTCCTTCACTTCTGAGAAATTTTCTTGAGTTATTTCGGTGGTCATTTATTCCCCTTCATTTTCTATGTTTTTTTTCCCTAGAACTCATATTATTGAGATATTGTATCCCTTGGATACAATTTAAAAACATATTTTCTCTCCCATCAGTTTCATCTCTTTTTCATTTTGCTCTACTTCCTGAGAAATTTCCTCAATTTTATTTTTCAAATTTTCTATTGAGTTTTTCATTTTTGATGTTATATATTTAACTTTTAAGGGCTCTGACATTGTTAGAA